TTAAGAGTTTAATTAACAGTATTTTCTCCATTTAATGGAAACAAAAATGAAACGTCTTTCTCACATGGTTGTATGTAACCAAAGATTTCTAAATGAAAGGCAGTGGGGTTCATGTGGATTTAGTGCAATCAGTGCAACTCAGAACAGAATCTGCACAGTACCTTTCTGTATTAATCAGTAATAATGTGATTTAAACAGGAACCCCTTATTACGTTAAAGAATAATTATTATTTGATCGTCTGTTCTATTGTTTTCAGAGTCTATCTATTCCCATGTAGTAAGGGAAGTTAAAGAGTATAAAGTTACTAGGTGAACACTATTTCTTTGTTCTGCAAACAGTAGAAGTACATGTGATTTCACAATAGGGAAAAGTGCAGATTTATATGCCACATTTTGTAAAACAAAGCTACTGTAAATCTCGTCTCTAACTCAAAAGGCAAGGAAATCAATGCTGGATGCTCTAATTACTGAACCAAAGCCTGCTAAATATTGAACAGAAGCAAAAGTTTCTGCTTTCTAACCAACCGTTTGTATAATCGCTTATAAGGAAGCCCCAAAATATCTGTTGCTAAGTGTTTTTCATCTACACTGTGATTCATGAGTTAGATGGAAGATGAAACAGTCACTGCTACCATTTTTATTTTTCAGTCTTTGGGTGATGGGGTGAGGGAAAACCAACTAGAGACAGATTTTATCCATTCTAAACCACTCACAACGTAATCTAATTATTTACACATTTTTATTGTGAAAGTGCTATTTGTGGCAACCCATCTTATTTTTCATACCATCCTGCCACCTTCAGCAATGAAACAATTACATAGTTAATAATATAGATGGTGTACTGAATGCTACAGCAACAGGACTTGTGATTTAATGCCACAAATACTGTAACTGATTGTCATTAGCAAGAAATGCATAACATAAAAGTTAGTTTAAAAGGGAGCTTGTAAGTGTAAGTGAATGTAACCTACAACCTACATGGATCACGGGTGTGCAGGTCATATTTTCCAATATGAACAAGTCATTGAGCTATGATGTCAGGACAAATACACCTTGCCCCAGCAAAGACCACTGTAAAGTGTGATTCTACTTTGAGAAATATTTATGTGCCTTCTTACTCAACGGATCTGCTCCTTGTGAATATTCAGGGTTATATCAGCTGACTTTAGTGATAAAAATAAGCAGGGCCGGCCTTAGGGAAAATGGCATCCTGGACGAACTTGTATTTTGATACCCCTGGCTCCCTCTGGCTCCCCATCCATCCCCCCCATCGCCCCTGGACCTCACTGCCTCCACTGCCCCGCTATCCATCCCCTCAGGCTCCTCATCCATACCCCCAGGCTTTCCAACCTTCCCCAGGCCTCATGCCTCCCCCCACCGTTGCCCTGAGCTTCCTTCTGTGGCCTCGCACCCCAGACCCACCCATTCCTTGCCTATTGACAACAGCGCCCCCTGACCACAGTGCCCTGGGTGGTCGCCCACATTGCCCACCCATAAGATCAGCCCTGAAAATAAGTTTACACTGGTTTTTGTTCCCTTTAGTCCTGCTGAGCTAAGACAGAGGGAGCTGAATTGTGCTCCTTCTTGAGTATTATCAACAGAATTATTTACCCATTTCCAATCAGTTACTTGCACCTATGCATTGGTGGCCCAGTCATCACTGAAGGCCTTAATTTGGCCTACAGAACTATTAATACCGGTGATGATATGTGAAAAAGATGAGACCAGGGTGAGTTTGCAAGCCTTGAAATTAGAAATAAGACTCCATATTTTTACTTATAAACTGAGTTCATTTGTTATGGAAATGATAGGGAAACAATGAACATAAAGCCATATCAAGCCTATTTTACCATCACTTTCCGGAACGTATCTGCACTTTGGCCTTCATCCAAAGCCTGATGAAATTATAATGTGAGTCTTTCCATTGAGTTTCAATTGCCTATGGTCATGTAAGAATAGCAATGTAGTGGAATTAGTATTATAAAGACAATGCAGTACACTTTAGGTAATTTGATCCTACAGCATACCCAGGGAACATGTAAATGTGGGCTCTAAACTTCTTTAAAACATGAGAGGAAGGTTATAAGGCTGTTCAGAGCTGCGGTTTGGATTCAGAAGATTATAGAATCAAGAATTATGGATCCAGACGGATCTAAATTCCACAAAATTGGGTGGGTTTAGAATGGGGAGGTGTTGGTTGTTTCCGGTCTTCAGCATTTCTAGTAAATGTCACCATTCACTATGCTGCCAATGAAAGTAAATGTCCAGAATCTTCCTGCAACCCTTTCTTGAGTAATGTCTTATTCAATTAAAATGCTACTCACAGACTAAGTAACTACTCAGTGTTAAGGGTGGTAGAATCTGGCCCCAAATAGTTATTGAAGCTTTCTCTGAAAATCGCATTAGTTCTTTTATCACAAACTGTACAGGTGCTTTATTTTCTAGAACAAAACTGACCTGAAGCTCAGGTCTGAAAATGTAACGGGGGAGGGGGGGGGGGAAGGAAAGGAGAAAAGAAAATGAGAAAACACGTAACTGCTTAGCTGAGGATGTTGAAACAAAGCATAGTCAGAAATGGAATAACGTGACAGGTAATTTGCAGTGATCTGATGTAAATTGAGTGGATGCCAAATAACCTGTTTTAGTCATAGTAAATTTTTTCCCCGATACTTTTAGTATCTTTTTTCAAAACTGCCTGTAATTGCCAATTGTATGAGCTACCCAGATCGCTGGCTTGAGATGAAAATAAACTTGCTTTTTCAGGTTTGAAAGGCAGTTAATTTAGGAGTAATACGCCTGATCCAGTATATCTGAAATGTACAGTAGGATTGGGTCTGATGTACCTGGCAGTGAAGTTGGTATCAGCTCTTGTGTTTTACCCCTTATTCAATATAACAGTAATTCTGCCACTGGATATTTAGTTAATAGGAGATTTTAGGAACTACCAAAGGACATGATCCAAGAATGGCCAACACCCTGTTTCCTGGCAACTGATGGCCTGGCCCTTCCCCCCTGCAAGGTGAGAGCTAAAGGGTTGGAGAACAAAGGAATCAGGTGACCTCCTGGTCCCGGAAAGGGACAAAGCCCAGAGGAGGAGGGGCTGGAGAGAGTTTCAGTTTGGGGCTGGCTGGGGACATGGAGTGAAGTGCACAATGGAAAGACTCCAATGGACTTCAAAGGATGATGGATTAGGATTAGAGGCTATTGGCTTTTAGTTCTCAAATATACAGGTGCTGAATTCTACATTTAAAACAACAAATATATCCAGAATAATCATACCAAGGCTCAGTTTTAACTCTATGTGTGAACTGTGGCTGAAACATAATTTAGCAAGTCTCCGAGAAGTGGGAGGTAAAACTTTTAATATATTTTACCTATCCCTAATGTTGCTAAAGGCATGACAATTTTTGGAGTTTAGAATTACTCTTTTATTTTATTTGATAATGCAAAATACATTAAATTTAACTTGAAAGTAGATTAGAATGGAAGAAAGTTATTTGGTTTGCTAAATGTTGCTGTATGTAAGGACCATTTTATACTCTTACAACTGCAGGAGCCAGGGATATGGAAAAGGGGCTGGTGAGGTCCTATACTCTGTGGGGGCTGAAGGCTACCTTCCCCATGGACATGTGGAATTGGAGGTCACTCCCACTGTCTCTTCTGTGAACTCCCCAAACCCTTGAAATGAAGGGTAAAATTTCAAGGAAATCACCTGGCTCCACTGTCCCTTTCCTGTGGGTGTCTTCATAAGAGTGTATAATTTGGTTCTTAAATTTCTGCTTAATTATGACATAATCTGTCCACCTAAATCTACAAGACCATAACTGTGTACTTGAGCAACCCCAATTATTTACTCAAAAGGCTTGAATTAGAGACCATTATTTTCATGTGAGTTAACTTCCCACATTGTCTGAGCAACTGCTCAGGAGTTACTGATGAGTGATATACCTCTTCCCTACAATTCTGTTTGTCTTGTGCTTTTCTATCTACAATGCATTAACTAGTTCCAGGGGCTTTACTAAGAGTGTAATGACTTTTCCTGTACTCTAGTAAAAATATATCCCCACAAATCAAGAAGAAGCAGACTCCGACTAAGTGGCTCAGAAGATTTACATTCTACTGCTAACCCAGTTATTACTCCACTGAAAACCCCATAGCATCAATATAATGAATCCCTCAACCTCTGCCGCTAGCACAATTTTTCTTTCCAACCTCATTGGCTCCCAACTTTCTGCTTGACCTTTTACAATCTGTGTGCGGCAGAACTTCATTACAACCTTTTAATGATGCACAAATGGCACACAACACCAAGGTCACAGCAGATCCCAAGTGAGAACTTCTCAAATACCACAGACTAGATAGTGAGACTTCAGTTAAAGAGACAGAGTAACCCAGTGGAGAAAGGTTTCAGAGGAACAGCCGTGTTAGTCTGTATTCGCAAAAAGAAAAGGAGTACTTGTGGCACCTTAGAGACTAACCAATTTATTTGAGCATGAGCTTTCGTGAGCTACAGCTCACTTCATCAGATGTATACCGTGGAAGTTTCCACGGTATACATCTGATGAAGTGAGCTGTAGCTCACGAAAGCTCATGCTCAAATAAATTGGTTAGTCTCTAAGGTGCCACAAGTACTCCTTTTCTTTTTTCCAGTGGAGAAATAAAACCTTAGGATTTACTTAGGATCCCAAGGGTTGGTAGCACAAAAAAGTGACAATGTCATAAACTAAATATCTGCTCCTGAGAAAATGTTTTAAGGGAAAAAATGCATTTGTCATGCTATCAGCAGCTAAATGAATGAAATGGGTCATTTAGGAAACTGTCTGAATGCCAAAAGGATAACAGTTTTTAGCTTAGAAAGATTCAGATCAAAGTCCATATGAATAGAGGTGGAGAAAGTGTTAGCAGTAAAATCATTTGCAACATCTGCATAAGCATTTGAGTCCTTTTTACTCCCCCACCCTCACATTTTATTGAAGGAAATGTAACGTACAAAATATTTCCAGATCCACATGGATTTAATCCTCCTCTTCCTCCTCTTCTTCATCCTGGTTTATCTGTAAGTATCGCAATTCATAGCTTTCCTTGCTATTGACAACTACACGCAGCCAGTCACACAAGTTGTTTTTCTTTAGATATTTCTTAGTAAGGTACTTCGGATATCTCTTGGAAAATGGAACCTCTGAAGTTACAGTGATTTTGTTCTTGCTTCTCTCAATGGTCACCACACCTCCACCCAGATTACCAGCTTTTCCATTTACTTTGATTCGTTCCTGCAAGAACTGCTCGAAGTTGGCTGCGTCCATGATTCCATCTTCGATGGGATGGCTGCAGTCCAGAGTAAATTTTAGGACCTACTTCTTTTTTTCTAGTAGGCAAATGGGAATCAGATGACCTGAATTCTATTCCTGATTACCACCGGCTTTTTATTACCTTGGGCAAATAATAGAACCTATGTGTCACAGTTTCTCCATCTGTACAATCGCGATAATGAAAATTAACTATTTGCATAAAGTGTGGTGAGAGAGTGCTATACTAACACAAAGCTGCTCTGTCTATACACATATACACACTCTGCACAGACACTAGTGAGTATATGCTATTCTGTTTTGATGAATATGAGACAATGCAGATAGTGTATCTCAAGTTAGTGATACCCTCCATAGAGTATGATGCTACTAATAAATAGCTCATGCTCACAGTATGTAGTACAATGTAATTAGTGCCACTAATGATTTACAAATACAGCAGATAATAGCTAACAATTCTAAAATAATAGTTTGGTTCAGATGCAGCATTTGATTTCTCTGATTCATTATGACCTATGGCATTTCCTTTCTATATGTATTGAATGTATTTACTGTGCATATATGCAAAGCTATAATAAATGTACATTATGTCCTGATTCTCCTTTTACTTACACTGGGGAAATCAGGAATAACTCTATTAAAGCCAATGCAGTTAGACAAGTACATAACCATTCTCAGAGAGAACTAGGCACCAAACACACACAGACATTTTTCTTATACCACTGGAGATACAGTGAGCTACTATTTAAATTGAGTGCCAGGACTGCGTACTAGTGCCCCTACATTCTACTCCCAGAGCGTCTACTGATTCATCTCATTGTGACCTTGACCAAATCATTTAATACCACGGTGCTTCCATTTATCCATTTCTAAAGCTGACATCATAACACTTACCTACCTTCCAAGGGGGAGTGTGAGGATTGATAAATACTTATACAGCATGCTGAAATTGTTGGATATGCAACACTCTAAATGTGCAAGTATTATATATTGTTATTTTCCCCTAAAACATTATTATGAAAAAAGGAAACAATTTGAGGCAAACACCATGTCTGACATTTCTACAATTTTGTTGTCAGCGGGCAGTGCTTAGAGTTCAGCAACTGCAAAATAAGAGAAGATCTTTATTAATGACAACTGAAAGCTGCTGCCTCTGGAACAAAGATTATGGGGGCCAAAATCTACCCTCATTTACACTGATGTAACAGTCAATGGAGTGGCTGCAATTGAGTCTCTCTGGATTTACACCCCATGTAAACAAGAGCAGAGGTTGGCCCCATTACATAAAACAAAAACAACAAGGAGTCCGGTGGCACCTTAAGGACTAACAGTTTTATTTGGGCATAAGCTTTCATGGGTAAAAAACCCACTTCTTCTGATGCATGGAGAAGTGGGTTTTTTACCCACAAAAGCTTATGCCCAAATAAATCTGTAAATCTTTAAGGTGCCACCGGACTCCTTGTTGTTTATGTGGATACAGACTAAAATGGCTACCCCTCACAGGCGCCAGCTTTCCTTGGCGCTGGTGGGTGCTCGTGACCCCCCCACCCCAGCCCCGCCCTGACTCCACCCCCTCCCTGCCCCCATTGGACCCCTCCCCAAATCCCGGCCCCGGCCCCGCCTCTTCCCCGAGTGCACTGTGTTCACCCTCCTCCCCCCTCCCTTCCAGCACTTGCCGTGCGAAACAGCTGTGAGGGAGGGGGGAGAAGCAGGACGAGGCGGCGCACTCAGGGGAGGAGGCGGAGGTGAGTTGGGGCGGGGGGTGGGTTGGGGAGCTGCCGGTAGGTGCAGAACACCCACCAATTTTTCCCGGTGGGTGCTCCAGCCCCAGAGCACCCACGGAGTCACTGCCTATGCTACCCCTGTTACATTACATAAAACAGTTTGTACAAATACATGGGTCCAGAATTGTGCCTATTGTACATTCATTGAAAAGGGGTAGATGATGCCCTAAACCAGGGATGGGAGGTACATAAGCTGCACCACCTGTAATGTAGTTCTGAGAAGCATTGTGTGTCAGAGATATCCCATTGAAACACAATGCCTTCCCTGATCCCCTTTTTTCCTCCAGAATGAAGTAGAAGCTAGTTAACTTTGTGTTTCATTATTTTACAAAGCTGATCTATTGTGTAGTAAATAGAAATTGATGTAGGAGTGTGAATTATTAAAAAGGAAACAACTAAGTCAATAAATCTCTGACATCACTAGATTTGCTATTGGCAGTTCAGGGCCTTTGTTCGGACCTCACAGTTCTGCAAATCAGGAGTGACTCCACTGAAGTCACTGGACTGACACTAGCATAGCTGAGCCAGAGTGATGTGGAGAAGTAAACTGCATCCAGTAAAGGACTGCAGTAACTTACTTCCTCCCTGAAACAAATGGGAGGCAGTAAAGGAAATGTGGGTCTGAGTCTCTGGTCCATCCTAGGGCTCCCACTGGAGTGGGCTTCAGTCCTTGCTCTGGCAGAATTCCTATTTCAATGTGTGTTATGATGGCAGACTGCAGGATCAGGGCTAATGTTGGTGAAATGATTTGGGTTGGAAGACACTATATCAATCTAAGATGCTACTGTTTTTTAGTCCTCACATGAGGGAGAGCTACCTTACCCTTACTTCCAAATATAGGGCACTGGTGAGGTTTCAGATCACTTCTGCCATCAGTTAGAGTCCTGAACATAGACTAACAGTTTGCAAGAATGTTCTCGCTGTTTGTGACAAAAAAATCTTCAATGAAAATGGTATGTAATTATTAGGGAATAAACAGAAGGCTAAAACTTCAATTGTAACATGCATATACTGGGATGGAAATCTAACCCTATGAATATGCTTTGCTACTGGATCTTTCATTACTAGTCACTACTATCAACCCATACCATTACCTTTGTAGGGCTGCAACACAATGGTGCTGAAAACCAGAGAATGGAAGCATTAATTTGTAATATCTGCATTATGTCTTTATGCCTTATTGCAAAATACTTGCCTTCAGCATGTATGTCCTCTTCTTTCAAACCTTTTTTATTTTTCTTGTATTGATAGTAACCAATAAAAGATAAATCTCTCTCACCATTTATATTTCAGTTCCTCTATCTCCCTTTTCAAATAGCTCAGGCAATTAATACAGGACAGCATTGTATTCCAAAATCTTTCCTCTTTTTGGGTTGTTCTCCATTCAACATTTCATTCATCGTTTATATTAAAATTACATTTTTAAATAGTTGAGAAAGCATTAACAAATGATGAATAGATGTTATAAGCCTGAGTTGTATGCATTATAGATGGCTGTAAGCACATCAATAGAAGCTTTTATAGTTATAAGCCATAGTTTTAAGTGACTTATTGAGTTGCTGAACTCTATAATAATCTTGAACAATGGATTAACCATGTATTAAAACATCTATTAATAATTTATTAACTTTTTTATAAATGTAACCTTGATACAGCAGATGATCAAGAGACCAGTGCCTAATAACAAGCAGGAATGTTTAGTAACCTGATACACCGGTAGTTCAGTTTGGGGAGCAGGAGGAAAAGAAGAGGCAGGGGAAAATCAAGATCAGTTTCACCAGCTGGTTAAAATACCTTTATTCCTGGGAGGGATTCTGAAGCTCTCACTAAATTCTTACTCAGGCAAAACTCTTTCTGATGCTTCAATTGTAGTTTCACCTGAGCAAGGAATGAGCAGAGCATTAGTATGGCTTGGCATATGGTCTGATTGTATTTGGAAATTGTGAAAGAATAATAGAATATCAGGGTTGGAAGGGACCTCAGGAGGTCATCTAGTCCAACCCCCTGCTCAAAGCAGGACCAATCCCCAATTTTTGCCCCAGATCTGTAAATGGCCCCCTCAAGGATTGAGCTCACAACCCTGGGTTTAGCAGGCCAATGCTCAAACCACTGAGCTATCCTCTCCCCCACCAAGAGCCGAACATCAGCCCCAGTGTGTGGTACCAGCAGTAGACGAATTATGTTCTAGGTAGCGGCAACAGGAGTGGATTTTACTAGTTAGTTTTCAGACCCTGTATTAGGAAATCAATACACAAGAGAAAGCTAGGATACTTCTTTGGAAGGCTTTACCGGCCTCACTGACATCACGTATCCAGGGCTCCCTCAAGATTTCCTGTTAGAGAATCACCACAGCTATAGCTGCTGAAGAGTATCAGAATTCTGTTTTCACTTGGAGGATTACAGCCATAATCTGCATACTTTAGGTTAGGCTAGTTCTCAAAGCTGTCACTTACCACCGAATGCATTATATGCCTTTATGATGCTCTGTTCCAAGTCAAATCTGGTGCATTATGGAGCAGAGCACTTGGGAGGGACACCTGTCTGTTGACACATCTGGCCATCATGCTTTAGGTCTTCTGAGGAGTCTTCCCCATCCTGCTTTCATGGATGATTTTCAAGATGATTCACACAGGGAAGTTGGTAGGCATTTGGAACAGATGACCGTATGACCTTAGAGAATGTTGGACAATCATCTGAGAGAGCAAGACCTGGTTAGTTAGAAAATCGATCTCTTTGTTCAACTTGAATTGTATCACTTGATGTTTTCAATAATTTGGAGATGCTTCATCTGAATGGTATCTGACTTCCTTTCAGTCTTGACAGTGATGGGCCACATTTCATCCCATAAGTAAGAATATGGACCACCAAAGCATTATATATCCTCAGCGTGGTCTCTCTACTTATCAGTGTGTTTGGTTTGCAAAAGACATTCCCTTAATGAGGCACCCTGTTAATGATGACACTTTTGCAGTGTGGGCTTCAAATTCTCTCTTGATACTGCCTGTGTGATCGTCAACAGAGCTAGGTGAAATGACTGGCTAGGTAGGTGAAATGACCGGCAATCTCGATTGGCTGGTCACCCACTAAGATGTTAGAGCCTGCAGCATATTCAAAATTGTCAATCAGAAGAATTTTTGTTTTATCTCAATCAATTTTCAGGCTGACTTTTGCCACAGAGCTTTCCAGAACTTTAAGTGTCACAACTAATGCATGCATTGATTCGACAATAAGTGCTATATGGTTAGCAAAATCAATGTAAGTGAGGGTCT